GAGAGAGAGAGAGAGAGAGAGAGAGAGAGAGAGAGAGAGAGAGATTATTTGGTGTGTTTAAATCTTCTGAATGCTAAATATAAGAAGGAATCCTAACATTGGGATAATATTAATAGCATAATACTATTATGCCAATTAGTTGCACTTTAATTCATGTATATTATTTACTCAGTTGGGCAGAACATGGGAATTTTGCATAATTTTGTGTATAAGATTGCTAGTACAGAACAATGGAGGGGAGGGAATATCTGGTTTATTAGTAATAAAATTGTGGCCTTCTCTCCGGAAAAAAAAAAATGAAAATTAATAATAATGATGATGGAAATGGATCATCTCTTGTGATTACATTTTGCCCAACATTTATGCTCAGGAGAATTCGATCCTATGTTGAGTCGGGTTTTTTTCACCGTTGGATCAAAACTTCGATTTGTTAAAAATAAGGGGCAATATGGTAACATGATTTGTTATCAAAGCTTTATCATACAGACAAAACAAACAACGTTTTCAACTCCAAGATTAACAAAGGTAGGTTGTCACATTACACAAACGGGCTACGGTCTGAACCACTAGAGTGCTTATCGTCGTAAATCCCATAAAACACATTATAAATACAACATATAAACACAATATGGTAGCCACATAATCAACTCCAACAAGATATTACCTGGCCTATAAGAGCTCAAAACACATCAGAATATCTGAAAGAAGTCGTAAATATGTTGATTAACTTCCTCTGGTTTTTCTTGGTTGATAAAATGAGCAACTCCTTTCATAATAACCACTTCTTGCAAAAACGGCACGTGTTTTTTGAACCCACCATTGTGTATATATTGCTTCACACCCGGTGTATTATAAGTTAAGTCGAGATCCCCCACAATGAACTTTACGGGAACTTTTATTTGTACACCGGTCCATGGTGCCATGAGCTCCCAATTTCTACATTACCCAGAAAGAAAATGTTAAAAAATGGAGTTTTACTCGAATTACAAGGAACTGAACTTTGTACTGCAAACTACACATTGCATGGGAAACTTTTACTGCAAAGATGAATGGTTCGTAAAATTAAGCAAACGCTGGGTTAAGCAAAATAAGAGCAAGTGACGAGTAAGACTTAGGACGTGCTTGGATACAAATATATCCGCTCAAAATGGATTTTTTTTTAATTAACCAGGGTTAATTTGAAAAAAAAAAAAAAAATAGTATGGTTAGTAGTTAGTGGGATTTGGAGTTTATACCAAAATAATATTCAAAAAAATATTTAAATTAATTTGATTTAAAAGTAAGATATGGATGATGTGAAGTGATGGTTAGTTAAAGTTATGTGAGTTGATGAATAGTGAATTAAAGTTGATGTGATGTATAAAGAATGATTGACTTTTATTATGTCATTATATATTGATAATACTGAATATAGTGGAGTTGAGTTGAAATTGAGTTGGATTTTGCATAAGAATTGAAAACATTTGTAAACAAACACCCCCTTACAGATCCATTGCTCGATAGTAATTCAGACCACCCGTGAATCCTTTCTTGTCGAATTTACTAGCGTAATATTCAACATCCTCTTCAGATAACCAAGAGGGCATCACAATTGGTTTTTGAGACGAGCCCCCAAATCCAACTTCTTTGGAAACAATAAGAGGAGCTGGATTTCTTGATGTTAAGAATTTCTTGATCAATCTTGCGGTGTCCACACGGGCAAACTCCTCCTCGACCTCCCCAGGTTCCTACATGAAAAAAAATCAACTAATTAGCTAAAAGATGAAAACTTTCGAGAAAGTAAATGTGTATGGGAAGAGAAGTAATTCAGTCGGGCAAGTCATTCAGTCAACTACCTATTCAAATCACAAAAAAATTAACAAATTTATAAAGAAGAAATTATTCTCATCCTCATAAGGCCAAAAAATATTACTCTGAACTACTAGATTGTATATTAGCTTTATAGGGAGTGTTTTGCAAAACTCTAATACAAAATGATTTTCAGCATCTGAAGCAAAATTTATATCAGCCCATTGTATAGCACTTCAGTCTAGTGTTTGCAGACACTCTTTTTTGTTCAGTATATATATAAGTCCATTACTAACTTCACAGTTAGGGGTGTAAGCCAGCCGAGCCAAGCTCGAGCCCTAACATGCCGAGGTATAGAAAATTATATAAAGTTTCCATTGTTCGAGCCTTAACTAGCTTGAGCTCAGCTCATTCTCATGATGCGGATCAAACATAACTAGGGAAAAAGTCCCTCATAGCAATATTCCATTTAGATAATTACTTGAGTTCTAAATTTGAGAACACAAAGCAAATTCCATATAGATAAGAAAAATGAGTGTCTGCAAATCCGAAGTCCAAAATATTTAGTTTATGGCTATAGCTATTAAATAAAACGAGTTGTTCGTGAGATCAGCTCGTTAAGGCTCAAAGAAATAAGAATTCCTATACAATTTTTCAAAGCTCGGCTCGTCAATAATGATAAACAAGATAGAGCTTCGAACCTTGAAATAAATATATCTATCAAGCAAAGCATAAATTTTGCAAAATTGTGACAAAAAATGCATCAAATGAAACAAATCAGTGCCTGAAATCTGCAGATATAATAGTCATCACCAAGAATGGCCCGCATCGACTCCACGGGCCTCCTATTTGGGTTCCTAGGCTGAAACACAACGCTCATGTTAACAAGAGCCCTAACCCTATCGGGCCGGAGCAAGCAAAAGTACCAGGCCACAGCCGCTCCCCAGTCGTGGCCCACCAGGTAAACCCGGTCCAGGTCCAGGGCATCCAGCAGGCCCACCAGGTCGCCGACGATGTGGAAGGCGGTGTAGCTGGAGGCTCGCGGCGGAGCGTCGGAGTCGCCGTAGCCGCGGAGGTCGGGGGCGACGGCGCGGTAGCCCCTGGAGGAGAGTGACAGCATCTGGTGGCGCCACGTGTACCAGAGCTCGGGGAAGCCGTGGAGGAACAAGATGGCGGGCCCGTCGCCGATCTCTGCCACGTGGATGTTTATGCCGTTTGTGCGGATGTGTCTGTGTTTGATTTTCTCCATGGCTGAGATTCTTGGGAGCTGTGATACTCGAAGAAATGAAGGTAGGGATTTTGCCGATTTGGGTTTCGAATGATATGCTGATATTTATACAGCTCATCGTACTATAAATAGTTAAATACTGATTAGTGTAAATGGGTTGATTATAACTCCGATCTCTATCCCTTAACGAATTTATAATCGAGCTTCATTTCAGCTCGTTTATAGTATTAACAAACCAAGTTCGAGCCGCAATCGATTTTTAACAAGTTTCGAACTATAAAAAATTACAAACAAATCATCTTTTCGAGTATTATCGAGTCGAACTCCGAAACGAACTTTAAATGAACTTGAGCTCGACTTGTTTATCAAACAAGTCAAGCCAAGCTCATGAGTATTTTTTTAACAGCTATGGTTATACCATGGAAGTTCAATCCTACCCGCTATAGTGCCTAGTAGTCATAAGCAAGCCGAGCAAAGCCAAGATCTACGCTCAAGTTTGATTGGTTCGAGCTCATATTTTAGTGAGCCGAACTCTAAACACAAGCATGGAAACTTCACCTATGGGTTTGGGCGCTCATGTTTTAATGAGCCAAACTCTAAACTTAACAAGTATGGAAACTTCACCTATGGATTTGGGCAACCTTAATAAATCGAGCTCAAATTTTAGCGAGCATTATTGACTTAATGTTTCAATATTCTTCTTTTGATCCCTCAATGGATCAATGGTTACATATTAAACCTTGTGAACTTACCATTATGCTGAGTGAGAATGAAAACCCAAGAGCACAATTACTTCGAACCATCGAAGAACGTGAATGTTTTAACAACGCTTTCTAATTGACAAAACCCTGAGTTCAAGGGGACTCAAATTAAATAAAATCCATCGAAAATCTTATCATGGTACCCAAAACAACAGTTCAAAAGTGTATCCCACAGCATTTGAAACACAAGCCAGGTCATTACTAAAGGATACAATAGCTCATATAAAGAAACTCAACAAACATAGAATCAAACTTCAACATAGAAACTAAAAATAACTTAAACTCTAAAACCACGGCTGTTTCTCCTTCCTCTGGCACGCTCAAATTTCCTTCCCTTTGCTCGAACGTATGGCTTTGTGTGGCTGTGTGGCACGCCAGGAGCTGGCCCAAAGTGCTTCACAGCTTCACGGGCATTACGCGAACCCCTCAATAGCACCTATCCAAGAACAGGTTTAGCAATCGACAAATTCTGAAACTACATTTACTCGAAACAAAACACTATTTCCAAATCATAAACACTAGCATGAAAAGACAGGTGCACCTTTATCAATATAAATATATATCGAGGAGATTATTAAAGCTGTCTTTTAAGATGTACAAATACATTCTTTGACAAAGTATAACATAAGCAATCTAAAAAAGTTCCCCATTATAAGAATGGGTTCACTTTACATAGCTCACAGAAATCCTACAAATGGACGTACAGGTATTATATAAGCAGAACAAAAACAAAATCATGCAAGCAGCAATTCTAGAGCCATGATCCATCTATTTAGGAACTTAATTTGATGTTACCAATATTTCCATGGTTGCCAACGATATATATTTTCACTGATGCCAGAGATTAATGGTCAAACACAAAATATATTGGAAGATGAGTTTCACAGGAACAAATATAGGCTAGCACACAAGTTCAAAAATAATTTTGAAATATAAAAGTAAATGCATAAAGTTCAAACAACCCATCGAATTATTATCCCGTGGAACCCGATGAGTGATAAGTCAACAACACAATATGCATAAAGTATTAATAGAAGTATTCTGCGATCACAAGGCGACATTAACCACTCGAAACGCCATCAGAACACATGTTGGCTACAAGTTCAGATAAAACCCAGCTACAAATTCAGATAGAACCCACAAACAGAAACAGAGAACATAAAAAATATAATAATAGGGGATTCGACACCCTGAGAACACATGTTAGCTACAAGTTCAGATAAAACCCAGCTACAAATTCAGATAGAACCCACAAACAGAAACAGAGAACAGAAAAAATATAATAATAGGAAATTCAGACACCCTCAGAACACATGTTAGCTACAAGTACTACAAATTCAGATAAAACCCAAAAACAGAAACAGAGAACATAAAAAATAAAAACATAGGAAATTCGACACCCTCAAAACACATGTTGGCTACAAATTCAGATAAAACCCAGCTACAAGTTCAGATAAACCCCACAAACAGAAACAGAGAACATAAAAAGTATAAAAATAGGAAATTCAGCACCCACAGAACACATGTTAGCTACAAGTATAGATAAAACCCAACTACAAATTCAGATAAAACCCAGAAAAAGAAACGGAGAACATAAAAAATAAAAGAATAGGAAATTCGAGCTCAATACCGTGTTCTGTCCAAGAGGAGCCCTGAGAGCAAGCTGGTCAAAAGTCAAACATTCTCCTCCAGCCTTCTCAATTCTAGCCCTAGCTGTCTCAGTGAATCTGAGGGCAGTAACCTTCATAGCAGGGATCTCATCAACCCGAATGTCATCAGTCACAGTCCCAACCAACACAGCAATTTGGTTTTCCTGCAGACATCAGAACCATATGAACAATACGAAAATCAACCACTGTTAAATATTCAGGTAAGATCCCACTTGACATTTCCTTCAAACCAACAACTAAGAACGAAAAACAGAAAAGATGTCAATCATATTAAGATCTGCAAACACAAACACAGCATATTTAAACATTTTTAACAAAAGGGTTTCGAATTTCAGCTTACCTTGCCCTTCATGAGAGCAGCGAGACGTGAAAGTGACAGAGGGGGTCTGTTGACCCTGCTCATGAATAACCTCTTCAGAATCACCGCATTGAACTTGCTCCCCGTCCTCCTCACCAGAAACCGGTACAGCTGCACACAGAAAACTCACACAATATCAGATCAATAGCTTCACAATCTCTAAAAGCTATTCACATGTGGATTGAAGATACACAAAATGAGACCTTGACGAGAAGTTTGAGGTAGATATCATTGGACTTAGGTGCAGTGCGCTTGGTCTTCTTGCTCTTACCTCCGGCGACTAAATCGATACCCTGCAATTAAAATCAACACATTAAAGAGAACGGTGTTGGCTCTGCACAGTACATGGGAAACGAAAAATGTGGATTGGATTAGAAACGGCGTCGTACCATGGCTCAGGTGGCGGGGGGCGGCGGCTGCTGGTGCTTGCTGCAACTCTCTTGTTCGAGTGATTGATACGATAAGTTAGGGTTTTGTAGAGGTGTGGGGATTATAAGGGTGCTGCTTTGGACCGTTAGGGCCCATATATCTTGGTAGGTAGACCGTTATCTGGGCTCTGGAAGATACTTTTTTTTTTTTTTTGGGCCTAAGGCATTGGAAGGTAATGACACGGATCAGTTGTTCAGCCCATAATGTGTATTATCTTGCTTCTTACCTACACCAGATTTGTTGGTCATGTTTGTTTTGGTATTTTAAAAAAATTTTGAAAAAAATCAAGCAATCACATAATTAGATATTATACTTTATATGGAAGAATCTACATTGTCTATGTTAATAAAACTAGTATGGTACCCTTGCGATGCATGAGAACATTTATTACCAATTTGCTTTTTAAAAGATATTTTTGTATTTAAATTGTCTCGTGGCATTAAAAATATCATGAAAATCAAATTTATATGTTATTAAATACTTCCTTATGTACAATGTTATTGGTTTGATTTTTTGGCACGTAAAGTACTACAAAGGTATTCGAATTTTATCTAGAATTGTGTATTAGTAGTTATTAGTTAACAAATTTTAAAAAAATTAAAGGATTTTATTTATTAAACAAATTGATAATTTGATAGTAGTAGAAAAAGTATAAATTTTTAGGGATTTTCATCCATTATTTATTGTAAATTTAATTCTGAATTTTAATTATGAAAAATTGAAAAGAATCATTAGTTACTCCTGAAAATGAAACCGATTTTTCTACCAGTAAACTTATTTATATTGTCAAATAAATTGATCCAAATATTATTTCTTAAACCAAATAAAAAAAATCATTATTTTGTTCCTAAAAATGCAACTGGATTTTCCTAACATTGCACTGATTTTTTTAACAAATTGAATTGAAAATAATACTAATAAAAAAATTGAAATAATTTGTTAATGTTTGTACACTAATCCAGTGGTCCGGGATTACGAAATGTCAAATCAAGTTTTTATCCTACCACGTCAATATCTTATCTCTCTACGTAGTTTCAATCACGGTCCACGTCATCTCGTAATCCCGCCAACTGGAGTAGTGTACTAAAACTGATGAAAAGTATAACATAATGGACCATTTTTTATGAGGAAAAAGATAGTGTATGAAAATGGACAATAGACAAATTAGCGGACCGAAATTAGATTTTTGAGATATATTAACATTAAACTAACTAATGGTTAGACTCCACAAAATATAATCAGCTCAACAGCCCAATTCCCCTTAAGAGAATCCCAAAAAAGGCAAAAAAAACCTAAAAAAATAAAAATATAAAATGAACCCAAATTGGCAAACGGCCGTCGCCATCGCCGTCTCCCTCCTCATACTCGCCGCCTCCGCCGCCGGATCCGCCGTCCCCACGGCGTACGAACTCCTCCAATCGTACGATTTCCCCGCCGGAATCCTCCCTCAGGGCGTCGCCCGCTACGACCTCGACCCTTCCTCCGGCAGATTCAGCGCCTACCTCAACGGCTCCTGCAGCTTCTCCCTCGAAGGCTCTTACCAGCTCCGTTACAAATCGAAAATCAGCGGCTACATCTATCCAGATAAGTTGACCGATCTATCTGGGGTTAGCGTTAAGGTGCTTTTTCTATGGCTCAATATTGTTGAAGTTAGGAGAAAGGGAGATAGCCTCGAGTTTTCTGTTGGGATTGCGTCTGCTGAATTTGGGATCGATAATTTTTACGTTTGTCCGCAGTGCGGGTGTGGGTTGAATTGCAATGATTTGGGTGAAAATTCGAAAAGGGTGAAACTTAGGAGTAATTATAATCTTTTGGATTCTTCGATTTAGGGTTTATGCCAAAGTTTTCATCTTTTGGCCTTTCCTCTGAAAATTGGTAAATTTCTGTATTCTGTATTGTTGATTTGTATATGTGTTTGGTTATCAATGAAAAAATGAGACTGCTTGAAATATTCTTGATTGATTCATTTCGGTTGTTGGTTCGATCTTGTTGATCATGTGCCGTTACTTGAAATATTCTTGATTGATTAATGTCGATTATTTGGTTCTTACATTCGTGATTGGGTTAAGTGTTAATGCATGAAATTAGATCATCTCAAGCAATCATACCTCGAGCTTCATAGAATGTTAGTTTCACTTTATTTTTTACATTTGGGATTGTTAATTTTTACATGTTTTCCTCGATACGGATGTTGTTTGCATTGTAATGCCTTTGGGTGAAACTTAGGACTAATCTTTTGGTTTCGTCGATTTAGTATAATTTGTTGTAAATGTTGAAGCCTTAGGGGTGATGTCAGAGTTTCCGTCTTTTGGCCCTTCACCTGAAAATCGATACATTTCTGTATCTGATTCTATCTTATTGATTTGTACATGTGTTTTGTTATCAAATATCAAACGTCTTTACTTGAAATATTCTTGATTGATTTTTTTTTTTATTTTTTTTTATTTTTCAGTTGTTGGGTTCTTAGTTCTTACATTACACACACTGATTTGGTCATATGTTAATGAACATATTAGATCCGAGGTGCGTTCAGCTTCATAAAATGTTACTTTTACTTCTTCTTCTTCTCCTTTTTTTTTTTTTTTTT